GTGTTCTTGCCGTTGTCTCTGGAGATGGTGAATCGGCCCTTCACAGAGTCTGCGTAGCTTGTGAAACTTCCATCATAGTTAATAACTGCGACCCACTGCAGCCCCTTCCCTGGAGCCTGGCGGACACAGATCATGTAGTAGCTGCTGAAGGTAAATCCAGAGGCTGCACAGGAGAGTCTCAGGGACCCCTCAGGCTTCACCAGGTCTCCCCCAGACTCCACCAGCTGCACCTCACACTGGATACCTGCAGACACAAGACATGCCAGTCAGGAAACTGTCACACACCCATTGTTTCTTTCACTCTTATCCACTCACATCCTCAACGTCTCTTGTTCACCATGAATTACCTTTTAAAAGAGCAACAAGGAAAACCCAGCCAAGCACAAACTCCATTGTGAGTTGTCTGTGTCCTGTCCTGAGTACTGACTGGAACACCTGCGAATCCTGGTGCTGGGGCTCCTCTCCCAGCTGCAGAGTCAGGTTTGGGCTGTTTTAAATCAACAGATGGAGGGCCCTATTTGCATGTTCTCTGACTATATATTCAGCTTGGGATCTATGTAACCATAGAGGGCAATGGCCAGAAGACATCTGACTGCCTTCGTTTTGGTTGTTTTGACCACTTTAGAAAAAATAGTTGATTTTTCATTATATAACTTTCCAGATATACACTTGGACATGTGCTACTTTCTTTTTACATATTCACACAAATGTTGTGGAATTGATGTCATGTTATGCCATAATGAAATGTAAACTTACACCCAGAATTTTAGTGGGTTTTTGGAGGTGTCCAAGAGCACACACAGGGTGAGAGTAAGCCCCAGTATGTGGTCCTGAGCTCATCCCCACAGGACACACTGTCCCCAACCACCTGGAGGACAGAGTGGGCAGGCTGGTGAGGAATGTGGAACTCCTCCCGTAATGCACACAGGATGATTTTACTTCCTCTCTATGTTGCCCTCAAATATAGAGAGCATCGTGTTTGTGTAGGTGTATTTTCTAACATTTCAATGTCTATGTGTTCCTCCCAAGTCATCTCTGGGATTGTAAGAATTTTGGTGAGTGTGCTTGAACAGAATGAACGGCATATAGGCAGAGTGTGTGATAGGGTAAACATGGGTGTCAGAATCAACATTTTCCAGAGTGAACAAATCAACCCTCCATAAAACTTCCTGTATATTCTCTGGAATTCCTCCTTCCTCTTCCCTTCTTCACCCTGTCGACACATAACTATGGGCTTTTCTCATGTTACTTAGACTAGTTGTAATTTTCAAGAATTTATATTGTATGTAATTTTACTTGTAGGTCTTTTTTTTTTTTCTCTGAACAAATCCTTGAAAATTCAATCATGTTGCTGTCTGCAGCAAGAATCATTTATTTTAATGTTTGGCAGTTACCCAAACATTAGCATAATTCCATTTTATTTTATTTATTTTATTTTTAAAATTATTTTTTATTAACATTCATTATTTGCCCCAGGGGTACAGCTCTGTGAATCATCAGGCTTACACATTTCACAGCACCTACCATAGCACATACCCTCTCCAATGTCCATAACCCAACCACCCTATCCCTACTCCCACACACCCCCAGCAGCCCTCAGTTTGTTTTGTGTGATTAAGAGTCCCTTATGGTTTGTCTCCCTCCTGATCCCATCTTGTTTCACTTTTTCCCTCCCTACCTCCAATGACACCCTGTCCTGACTTTCAAATTCCTCATATCAGGGAGATCATACGATAATTGTCTTTCTCTGAGTGACTGATTTCGCTCAGCATAATACCTTCTAGTTCCGTCCACATTATTGCAAATGGCAAGATTTCATTTCTTTTGATGGCTGCATAGTATTCCGTTATATCTATCTATCTATCTATCTATCTATCTATCTCACATCTTTTTTATCCATTCATCTGTTGATGGACATCTAGGTTCTTCCCATACTTTGGCTATTGTGGACATTGCTGCTATAAATATTTGGGTGCACATGTCACTTCAGTTCACTGTATTTGTATCTTTATGGTAAATACCAAGTAGTTTGATTGGCAGGTCATAGGGTAGTAGTGCAATTGCTGGGTTGTAGGTAGCTCTATTTCCAACTTTTTGAGGAACCTCCATGCTGTTTTCCAGAGTGGTTGCACCAGCTTGCATTCCCACCAACACTGTAGGAGGGCTTCCCTTTCTCCTCATCCTCACCAGCATCTGTCATTTCCTGACTTGTTAATTTTAGCCATTCTGAGTAGTGTGAGGTGGTATCTCATTGTGGTTTTGATTTGTGTTTCCCTGATGCCAAGTGATGTGGAGCACTTTTTTGGGACTGTAGGCCACCTGGACATCTTCATTGCAGAAATGTCTGTTCATGTCTTCTGCCCATTTCTTGATTGGATTATTTGTTCTTTAGGTGTTGAGTTTGATAACTTCTTTATAGATTTTGAGTACTAGCCCTTTATCTGATATGTTATTTGTGAATATCTTCTCCCATTCTGTCAGTTGTCTTTTGGTTTTGTTAACTGTTTCCTTTGCTTTCCAAAAGGTTTGATCTTGATGAAATCCCAATAGCTTAGTTTTGTCCTTGCTTTCCCTTGCCTTTGCTGATGTTTCTAGGATGAAGTGGCTGTGGCTGAGTTTGAAGAGGTTGCTTCCTGTGCTCTCCTCAAGGATTTTGATGGATTTCTGTCTCACATTGAGGTCTTTCATCCACTTTGAGTCTATTTTTGTGTGTGGTGTAAGGAAATGGTCCAGTCTCATTCCTCTGTGTGTTGCTGCCCAATTTTATTGTATTTTAATTATTTATTTATTTAAAAAAATTTGAATTTTATTTTAGAGATTACATCTGGGGCAGAGAGTTTTACCTCTGGATATTTCTTCTGCTTTAAATTCCTCTCTCTAGCCATTTCGCCTAGAGAAGTGTGGATGAATGAGTGAACAAAAGTACAAATATCAACCCAAATGCAAGCAAAATACACAGTAGAGAAGTCTGAAGAG